AGATGATTCGGAATGCTATGGGAAAAACCCCTTTTATTTGAGGCGCTAAGAATCTTATCTCTATTCTGTATTTCTTGAACAATGAAAAGAGATTAAAGGCTGCTAAGATTCACTTAATCAAAGGTACAGCTTTGTCTCGTCTTAGTATTGGTGAAAGCGAAGGCGACAAGACGAGCCATAGGAGACTCGGAACATACAGGCGGAGACGCCTGAGCCAGCGCTACGTCCACTATAGGAGGTGAAGTGCCATGGAAGAAGGTGATGAGACGACCCCCGAGACTGCGATGTCCCAGACGTTCTAGGACTGCTTTGGTGACCAACCCTGAATAGGTGTCGGTTAGCAATACCGTGCAGCCCGCATGGACGTTGGCAAAGGTCAGCAACTGTACCAGCGAGTCGTAGCGCAGTGAGCTTCAATGCAAGTAATATCACTTGCAATGTGTGGAATTGAGCAAGTAAAAGAAATTACAATGACATTATTAAGGCCTACGTGGCTTTACAGCACATCTGCATATCCGCAATATTCCGAGCAGTATGAGGCCTAACTGTAAAAACGCAGAGGTAGGACTTTTTCTTTTTGCGCAAGTACTTTTCCTGAGAGAACTTGGTCTTCAAGCGAAAAGTTGTACACTTTTCCACCAACTTGGAAATTATCGCCTAGAATTAGCACGTAATAAGTTTAAGAGGAAGGTAGAGTAAACAAACGTTTCCAGTGGAACCGGTAGACTTAAGGCTTTGAATGTCGTCCGCAGTTAGAAGTTGGTTTTCAGAGCGATCTAGAAGGTGTCGATTGTCCTTGGAGGACTCCACATCAACAGTTTCGAGAGTTATTTCATCTGCCTTCACTTGGGTAACACTAGTTCCGTCGAAGTAGAAGGTCGATCCCATGGGGTAACCGATAATAGCCGATGCCGGGACTTTGATCTTGCCCACATCAATATGTCTATTTAAAAAGAAAGCTCAAAAGGATTTCCGCACGAAAGAACCCGAAGATAAAATGCAAGCTGTTTTCACTCACACATTTGGACGGACTTCGAGAACTTGATAGGAATCACATTTCTGTACAATCACCTTATTCCCGACCTCTATGGATTTCCACATTGCTAAAAGCAATAAAATATCTTGAAAATCAACCCGAGAAAACTAATGTACCTTTCGTCTCTGTTTCTAATTGGACACGCAACGGTGAGAGCTAATAAACTCAAAATGAATTATGAGTCAAGAGAGGGCGAACAACAAAGTACACAAATCAGCAAATAACCATGAAGAGTCGCGAGATTCCCGTAGGATCTACCTGAGAAATTGCTGAAAAGTAGGGTCGATAGGGAAGGACGAAAACAAATTGGTTTGGGAATCAATGCATGTAAGGCGACTAACACAAAATAGAAATCCAATTCAACGGCAAGGAAACCATAGAAAATATCAAAAATGTGACCTCATCTTGACGTTTATGTAATCATCTTAAAATATTGGTAGTAGGGGTTTTCAATACATGAAATCAAGGGTTATGAAAACAGTTGAGGAATCCTAAGTCCAGTCGTATCGACATTTTGACACCTACAATCAGAAAGAGAGCAGAGGGCTAAAAGTAGATGCATCCAGCCAAACACATGTGAGTTATACGTCGATGCAAACGGACGCGGTAAATTAATGCTAACAAGAAAGTCGATTTCGTATTAGAGTAAATTAGCTATCCAGACATCAAAAACGTAGTCAAAGGTTTGTTTTGTACGTTAAAGAAGACAAAACTGACCGACGAAGTTAGGCTAGCTGCGAACACGCGGCACAGGTATGGACCAACGGATTAACTAGAGATAGCAATTAATTCGATTTACGCGCATCACTTATTAGTGTCAAGGCGGTCGCTCAGATCCGACCAGAAGATAGTTGACTCACCATTAAGATCAGTCAATAATGTAAATTACAAAACCGTCAGCATTATTTACATGAAAGAAGGTACGGTAATGCCTAAACTATATTGGACAAAAGTAGAATATTAGTCCAACCCAATAACATCACTTTTAAAACATCATTTTGGTGTTGATGCTTGTTCAAACCCAATTTTATTTATTAAGATTATTGTAAACCAAAAATTTGCAATGACAGGTTGTCAAAAAATTGTCAAGGTAGACAGCTGCTCTAAATGCGCATACCAATTACGCCTTCTGTCTTCTCTAAATATCACCAATAGAAATTCCATTCCTCAATCACTCCGTTTTTTTAATAAAGCCGAAGAAAAGTAAGTTAACGATGATGCTCTCACACCTCATTAGGTTGTTGGCGAGAGCTTACACAGCCCTCCAAGACCTCCCTGAAGACGACAGAAGACAATACTCAGGCAGAGCATATATGTTTTGGCATAGAGAATGTATTTGGGCTACTGGCATGGCCCAAAGGGCAGCACGCCCGGCGTGGTACCAAGGCCAAGTCAAAAGTTAGCTCCTCGCCAATATCGAGGGATAAACAATCATCGTTTTACGTAGCCTCCCTCCTCTTCTGAGCTTCAACCCCGGAGCCTTCCCTGGTTGACCTCCCGTGTCAGCCATCCCAATGCAGTCAGTGCTCCAAGGAAACCCCCACGGCCCAGCCGTAACAGTCATCAAGTCAGCATGCAACTGAGTAGATATTTTACCACATTGTCACTGATCCCTCTTGGCAATTTAACTGGATCTGCAGTTTCGTTCGGTTTGGGAACTTGATTCAGGAACAGAGAATTGTGTTGGACATCACGCGTGTCCATAGATAGATGTAAGAACACTGGTTTAAAAGCAGATTTGTGTAAGCAAGGACGCGATCTAACACGGGTCCGTGGGGAAAGAGTTTCGCTTCTGTTCCTCCACGTCACGTTGTTCCCACTTTGGAGATGCCCAGACTCTACTCAGATAGTAAGGAAATGGAGGAGTTATCAGGAATTCACTTAATCAACAGCTCAATGCAGGTACGGTAGGGGAAGTCTGTAACGGAATTTTAGACGGTCGACGGCTTGTACCGCTTCAGCTGTTAATGGCTCTCCTCAAGAACACGAGACTGAGATGGATGCCAAAGGTAGACGTCAATTCCAACCCTTCCGTTTGGGGTCATCGCAATTCCCCATCCGTAGCATATGTACAACTTCCGCTCTGCTAAGGTTTATCACGCGGCAGGAAAAATCAGGATATATGTCCTTTAGGATGGGGTTTGCTTTCCGCTGCCACAAACGTAGCGCCCCGAGACTTCCCTGAGAACGAAGAAAGACATAATACTCGGGCAGAATATATACATTCTGCGACTGAGAAGGTACTTGGGCTACCGGCATGGCCCGAATGGCAGCCCACCCGGCGTGGTGCAAAGGCCAAGTCAAAAGTGGCGCCTCATTAAAACCAAGAGTTAAACAACCATCGTGTTACACTTATGTCAAACCGAAAACTTGGATAGTCGGGTAGGTACGCATTAATGCATTTAAAATGCAAGCACATTTTAAAATTAGTATTTACAAAGGTCGATCAGTAATTTCAAACCAGAATAGTCCGCATGTTTATTGCCCCTACCATTTGAAAATTGGTCCTACAGTTAGGTAGTGAAGAAGGCTGATTGCTTGGAAGTTGCAAGATTTTGCTAAAAGCAAAGTTGTTTCCTTTGCGATTCTATTTAGACACAATGCTTCCTTTTTTGGAATTTATGAGTGTCTATACTAAATCCTTCCATTGATTCTTAACAAAGAAGCCTGTAAAAATCCACTTAACGTCTTTGCCTCTAGTTTAACAATTAAAACTAATCTAAATATACTGTTTAAAGCTTAACAAAATCTTGAATACTATCATGGCAGAATTGGTGTCATCCAAGCAGTTTTAATGCACCTACGGAATTCTGGATTTGTCCTTGGATGAGTCCCGCGCTAAGTGGTTGATTGGCGAAGTGGTAAGGTTGTAACGTAAGATGTGATGTCTGCTGTGGGCCAGTCAGAATATAAGGAAGACAAAAGGGGGTCTTTTATGAAGCAAAATAGTTTTTCTTCTGAGGCAACTTTATCTCTTTCCAACTTCAAGGTTTCATTTTTGGACCGTAAAGTTCCCTTACTTCTATGTGTAACTGCGACAATCTTAATTGCTTTAATTGCTGTAAGCATTTATGCAGTTTATGTTTCACTATTTCTTCACGGTTATATACTGATATCGAAGGAATCAAATGTGGAAACCAGATGTGGTGTTGTAAAAGGCTTTATTAGTAACGATATTGTGCATTACCTTGGAGTACCTTATGCCCTTCCGCCTATTGGAACGCGTCGATTTCGTAAACCTGTTGAACTTACTACAAATGCTTTATGTTTAGAGGCGTGGAATACGCCGCAACACCGGCAGGTACCGGTTCTTGATGCCTTTACTTACCGTAACGTGTGCATGCAACTTCTACCAATATCTAATGAGATAATTGGTAGTGAGGACTGCCTATATCTTAACATTTTTGTTCCTCGCACTCATAAGCCAGAAGAATTACACCCTGTTATTTTTATAATTGGTGGTTTCTTTTTTAACTATGGTGGATCTTCCAATGGATCGACCTTCCTACATCATCCTGATCCTGAAACGATTATCAACTTGAACGCCATCCAAGTTACATCAAATTACAGGTTGGGGCCCTTTGGGTTTTTAACTCATCCATCTACAAAAGTGGCAAACATTGGTGTTCGCGATCAACTAGCGGCTCTTCGGTGGGTGCGATCTAATATACGTTATTTTGGTGGGGATCCACTCAAAATAACAGTTTTTTCATATGGATCGGGTGCAACAATATCGTTAGCCCTACTCGGGTCTCCCTTAGCTCAAAATCTTTTTGAAAAGGCTTGGATCAGCGCACCTGCTCTCCGAAAACCAGAAATAACGCTCACTTCAGCTGTCGATGCATCAAGGAATGTCTTCAAATGTGAACACGCAGACTGTGATCAAAAAGGAGAAGATATTTTACGTCTTTGGAATTGGACCATTGTTGAGCCTTGGATAGAACAATTGTTTACGCTCCCATCCGCATCAAACATTCACTGTCTTCCTGGGTTGCCTTGCCGTGGGGGAATTTTGGTAATAGACGACGAAGTTATTACCAATGTTTCTTGGAATTCTCCACTTTCCCCGATACCGATCGTGCTCGGTCAAAATTCGCACGAAGCCGAAGCATATCCCTTCCCCAACACTGTGCAGCTTTGGAATTTTGCTATAATGTCAGGCTATATAAAGAACATTCTCGGGGAGAACAGCTCTGAGTTCAAGCTAATCAATGATTATTACCTTTTAAAAAATACGGCTATAGGAATTGCGTCCCAGAATCACTCTTCGAACTGGCCAAGTATTGTGGACAAATATTCCCAGATTGTTACAGACATCCGAGTCACGTGCCCTTTACAATCGTATGCACGATCTCTTAGGCGTGTACAACCCATTTTACGGTACTACATTCGCAGTCAACATGCTCATTTTAACCCCTATGGTTTGGATTCCTTTGTCTCATCTGCATTTCATGGCTGGGATGCGTTTCTGCTCTTCAAAATATTCCGCTATCACCCCGACTACATCTATGCTGTGAACAAATCTTTCCTCTCTGACAAGTCACTGGAGAAGCTTAGCGACAACTTTTGCACCTCATTAAAGCACTTTGTTTGGCGTGGCACAATGTTTCCGGGGAAAAAGAACACACTTTTGACAATTTTTGAGAACGAAATTGTCTACTCTACTTCGGTTGATGATATATCAATGTGTCAAAAATGGAATGATTTACTTTCACACTCCCCCTATCTTTATGCTTGGAAAGCGTAACGTTTGAATTTTCCGTTTTCTTAGCTGGAAAATTTTAACGACGATGATGATGATTATATCTGTTATGATACTACGCGGAAATTGTCTTTTATTTTGAGAATGTAGGAATGAGAGATAAATTGAATTCTTAAATCTACCAGCTCGTCTTTTTTGTCGCTTGATTTTGATGCAGGAAGGCATGACAAACATCGTCCCCTTTATTGTCTTGGTCACTGCACCTATACCTGGCGTTCAAATAAGGGCGTTCGTACTGACCACAGCATTTTTAAAGAAAAGTCATTTAATAGACTACCAAAAGTCCTCGCAAATGCAATCGCCATTTGCGGCTATGTGGGTTAAAGGAGGTTTTTAAACGGTAAACTTTGGTTAAATCTTGGAGATGTTTGGGCGTTACCTAAGTGGAATGGAGACAACGCCCAAAACACCCAAATACTATAATTGCGCTCCCTTTTTTACCAACCACAATTTAGGGAATAAGAAGAGTCGAGACCAACTAAAAGCTATCAGTGGAATGCTTACGCTCAGGCAGATTAAGGCAAGGATTTTAAATCTCCACGATAACGCCTTTAGTTTCCGAGTAATCCAGTTAAGTCAAAAACAGACTACTGAGACCATCATTTCAACTGGGGGTTACACTGAAAGTAACGTAAATCAACTAGGACGTTAATCGGCAGCATCCCATAGCAATTTTGCATCCAACGACCCCTTATGACATTCATGCTCCACTGTATTTAATTTTGAGAATGATTGAATCGTCGTAATTAACAGAGTAATCCTCCCAAAATTGGAGAGGTTCCACTCCAAAACCCGCTGTGGATCAGAGGGAATTCTGAATGCTAGGCGCGAATTACCAAAAGTGTTAATAAAAATGATCTAAATCATGCTCTCATAGCACTTTAATGCCTTTTAAAGGTCGATCCAATGGGGTGTGTTTATGGAAAATAAAACACAGTATCGCCTAGTGGTTGATTACCGCATTAGCACGTTCACAGTGCGCTATACCCTTCCCTTAACTGCCACTTTTGGTCAATTTTGACGTTACAGAATCACGCTTACCACTATCTTCCTGCTTAAAATGAATGAACAACTAGATTGCCCCCGGCAGTGGATGATCTGCACTTCGCTTACTTGTTCGTACGGCAAAATTTAACTCAAAAGTGGCTTAATTAAACTAACACATTCTATTTGGTGCCTTTCAATCACTGATTAAGGACATACTTTAGGCCGTTTTGCATATCTTATTCAAGTTCCAACCGTTCATTTGTTTTTCGAATACATATCAATGTCACTGCGGTTTGGCTTTGTTTGATGTACTTCAACTAAACAAAAGCAATCAAGAGTTTCCTCCCTCTGATGTCCATCACTCTCTGATTCGAAAAGCTTAAAGAAGTCTGTTTTGAAATCTCCAAATTATTATGAGTTGAATTTTGCCTTTTATGTAGACCATCATTAGTTGCGTTACGTACTTTCCAATTATAGTACGAAGGCATTAAACAAGGCGGTGCAACTTTGTTACTTCGCTAATCATGGGGCTGGCAAATTAATTGCATGAGCATTTATGTGGTTCAAGGGGTGCTGACTTCGATGCTAATCAGGGAGGGAGATGTGATAATTGCCAGTAATTTGTGTTAGGCCATTGTGTGGTCGACAACAATTCCTTCATATGGTGAGATGCACGCGAATTGATTTCCTTAATATTTAAGGCAGTGAGCGTTGTGTGAATATTTCAGAAGTAAAAATTCTCGGCTTTGACACCTTCTACTGCAAAAGACGCGTGTGACATCATAAAAATCGATTGCACCATTGACATGTGGGCGTTCAAGCCGTTGAGGTTCGGTAGGGGCCAAGGCGCCATTTACTTGAGGAGCAGCTCACCACCAATGTCCATCAACGGTCGGACCCGTCTACCTTCATTAATGTTCACAAATTTGGAGATTATACCATCTGCCAAGGCGAACAACAACAGAGACTACATTGTACCCCTAAATCCTCAACCCGAGTCAAAATTACAGCTTCCAAATAAGTACAAAATGGCACCGCACTTGATCACCCTATCGAAGTCAGAACGGTTTGAACTAGAGCGAAACTTTCCCCCCATCTACCCACACGACACCTGGGCTCGGATGAGGTGGGGCAACTACACGTTTCCGAGTGCTCCGGCTGAAATCTACGCTATGCCTCTCTCTCACGCCTACTACACCGATCCTCTGCCCGGCAAACTACCACCGATCATATATAAGTGATCAGTTAGCGTTACCGTGCCCATAAGTCTCCTTTCTGCCAGCGTCTTAGTGTAGTTAAGTGAGAAGAGTGCAGTTTGTTGTGCCAGGAATCCCACTCCTCTCTCTCGCTCTCTCTCTTCCTTTCCCTCTCTCACTCGTTCAAGCCTACAAACGCACAACTTCCGCTTGACTTTTAACAGCTGTATGTCGTTTCTCTAAAAGGATATCCTTTTCACCTGCTTGTTCCGTCAACGCCCAGCACATATCTTAATACGTATTTTAAAAAGGCTTATCACTATTTAAAAGTTAATCCGCTCATTGACAAAGTGCACAATGTAGTCGCTAATTGCACTTTGGATAGGGTGGTAAGTTGAGTTATTTTTACATGAAAAATCCGGATACCCGTTGAGCACACAAAGCAAAACTTGATGGAATGAAGCAACTCCGTGTGGCTATTGTGTCTGGATGCTTCTTGAGACACTCCACAACATAATAGGCATTCTCAGCCCCATAATGCCCCATGCGACTCCTTAATTGGTGTTGCCAAACAAAACGTAGCCAGACTGGTCAAATCAACGTGTCAACCTGTGTTGGGTGATTTCAAGGGCACCCTCTTTTTTTAAAGTCAGGAGGCTTTGTTTGTTTCCTATTTTCCAGTTCAATTTTAGTTTGAATGGGCATTGTGCATACCGAATGGGTTAGGTGGCAATGATGACACAAGACGTAACCCCAAGCTCCATTCACTCGTTTTGGAGATGTAACTGTGTGAATACTACTTAAGTTGTTTTGAGGGGCTTGGCAAGACAAAAAATAGATTTTGGGTTTTCTTACAAGAAAAATCAAATATTTGTAAACTTTTCTTAAAACACTCAGATTCGTGCAACAGTTGGCAACGTAATTCACTAAAAATGTGGTTTTGCGGAGGATTTGGCCTCTTGGAAGGCCGAACCGGATCCAAACAGTCTCTTCTTCTTGGGATGTGACTTGCAAAAGTTGACGTCAATGAAAGATATTAATCATCGTTTGTGCTTGGGAGCGTTATCACTATCAGGGGCGTATGGAGCATGAGGCAGTACGTCCCTCCCCCTTTCCCACCATAAAATTGCAATCTGCGTTCTTCTCAAGGACATGTTTGTGTCTGCAGCTCATCACGGACAGGGGGCAGGCATTAGTATGTGGGGACGAAATAGTGTCTAACCTAAAAAGTATAAAAAAGGCAGCGAGCAGATCATTCGGGGACGACAAATAAATATGCCATTTGCTTGGTCAAAGGTGGAAAGGCACAAAAACCATTTTAGTCAGTCAATTTAGATAGCCAAACAAACACCTTCAAGTTGAACAATGTGTCTTACAGCGTAGGTGAAAGCAATGAAAAACAATCTGATGATATATAATCCTGCCACACGCTAACCTCGACTCATTTTGATCAGTTGTAACGCCTCATCAGAATCGAGTTGCTTAAACACTGGCAAAGCAGTATCCCCCCCCCCCCCCCTCGGTTCGTAGGTCAGAGAGGCTCAAATCATATCGGCCAGGTCCGACCAACATCTGATGGCACGAATTTGCAGAATAAGGCGAAAGTAGTGGAGGACACAACATAGAGCGCCACAATGGCGAACACATAAACAATTTAAGGGATTTCACAAGTCCTAGTAAGTTAGGACCTAAAAACCGCGCAAATTCTTAGTTTGCGGGTGATAACCAAGCCTCACCTTTGCCTCTCACCGCCAAAGCTATCGCCGACGAGTTAGGGTCATTTCGAGCGTTTATTTGTTAAAAATCAAAGTTGTTATGTCTTTTTACGAAAACGGTATTTATTTTAGTCATGTAATCTGACTGTGTGAGACATTCACTCTCCGCGATCCCAGTCACCGTGTTGGTGGCGTGCCTTTCAGTCCCTTAGCCCTTTCTGCCACCGAATAATAAACGTTCTTCCATACCAGCATGCGTCAGACGTGAACCTGAGCGCTTCACTTATGGGTTAAATGTGCGCCGAGTGATTCGACAAGATAATTAAAGGCTCCATAAGGATCGTACGTTGAAGTGTATCTGCTTAGTACGCCCATTAATCCACATACCAACAGTGTTGATATCAAATAGTCGCACGAAGAATCGTCAACAGTCGCACCAAACCACCGCATTTGAAAAATAATGAAATTTCCAAGAAATTTGTTCACGTTTTCATATTTTTGAGAAAACGGATAAAAAAAGGAAAATCATTTCTCCCTGTTGTTACCAAAAAATTGGCTGGGAGCCTCGGTTCCACGCCCTCGAAGTGGTCAAAGCAACTTAGAAATCTTGCTAAACCAACCAGAGCCCCGATTACGAGATTGGCGGGATACTGGTAAAAATTGCAAAAGCCACGCCTTTCCCGTTTTGTCATGTTTCCGAAAGCCCCCTCTTCCTCTCCCTCGCTCCTTCATTTTGCCCACTGCCACGACTCAGGCTGCCGCGGCCATTGGTTAGAATGAGCAAGTTACACTTCCGATGATTTAAACGGGAGAGACCGTACATAAAATCCCTTGATTTCGCACAATCAAAGCCATTCCATCTATCACTTGTGGTAGGAGCTAGGACCAAGCTTACCATCGTCTATTCCAATAATCTCTATGGGCGGTGTCCAATTTCACTAATATTGGCAGTTTACAAAAAAAATTCTTCTTCATTGATAAAATACCATAACATTATAAAGTTGGTAGCAGTTTCAGGCAGACTTCGTGAACAAGTAACTTTTAAGCGTTGAAAAGCCGTTTCATATCTGTTGTTCCCTTTACTTCCTTGTCATGTACACATAGGAAAAAAGCATCTCAACTTGATGCAATATGTTTAGCAAAGAAAATTCCTTACTCCTTTAATTTAGTTTTTTTACTGGAGAACAAAAACTTCAAATTAAGCGAGGGATATTTTTTTCAGCATATCTAGTTACATGATAGTAAAATCAATTAAATACATCCATTAAAATGCAATTCCTTTTATACGCCATGAAGTGAGAATAATACTGCTTGCAAGAAAACATCTTTTTCATGGAAAAAAGATACCAAAATTTACAAAAAACTGCTTTAATTAACCCACGAATGCTCACGTGAGAGTATCCCAATACACGCTACTGATTAACATTTAAGTAAAAAAGGTATGTCATGGCCAGTTGGATAATATTGGCTGCTATGGAGAAAAAAATAACATCTCAATTTCAACAGCGTCACAAAACATTCGGAAAACAAATTGTCCCACATTGGTTGCCAGATATAAATCGTGTAAAAAGCGTTGCTATTAGAGATACAGTTTACCTTTCTGACTTGACGGCCACCCAAATCCAACCTCCATGTGAAACAGAAGATTTCGGATTAAAAAGAAAGTACAAATCGCAACACTTTGTGACGCATATTCCGCCACCAATCCGTAAAAAAAATAATCTTGGTATTGTTTGGGATCCAGTCAGTAAGTTACAGCCTGTTTTGGGGAAGAACAGACCGACGCACTAGATGAACGCGGCCTTGAACAGATCATTCGTCATTTGTCCCAAGGTCAATTTTTCTTTGCGCCTCCGTCTAACACATTCGCCAATCGTTCTTGCATCGGCCACGAGGGCCGAGTACAGCAGCCTAACTAGAAAAGTACTATCGTGTTGAGAGAAGTCACACGACAAAACGCCGCGTGATCACATGTGGACGCCTGTCCAACCAATTAGGTGGCAGGACACAAAAGAGCTTTTTTCTCCGCTCCGCACTTTTTTTCTTGATTTTTCCGAGACTGCGTTTTCGCAAATTACCAGCGTGAGTGATGCATAAATAATCGCTCTCTTTCGTATGATATTTCACATCACGTGTAAGAAGAAACAGATGAGCAATGGAACCCGCCATGGCAGCAACATGCAATTTCACCACACCCACGACGATGTAGCAGTGCATTGTCGCGATCTGTCAGCTTATCAAATCTTGGTGTGAAAATTTTTTTCCCGAAAAAAAAAGTTGCGTCACACTTTTCGGTGTGAAACAAGTTGACTTAAAGTAGAAATGTGGTCAGGGTGGAGGCACATGAATCAACCAGGTGGAGTCAACATGACTCAATTTCCTGAATGAGTACCACCACCAACCACATCGTGTGCGCCAAGTGCGCTCCGGGGAACGAAATACCAACTTTACAAGAATGAACAAATAAAAGAAATTACAAATACGGTGTAACGCAACTTTGGTACATGAGCCTCTGGACCATGCCAACAGCTCCAAGGTCCTCCGCATGTTCTGTCCTGGTGTTACGACTCCTTTCACCTTCAGGTTAGTCTTGGGGCATTACATTAATGACAGTGGAAAGCGAACCCGATCTCAAAGGACATCTACTCTGATTTTTACAGCTGAGCGGTAAACCTTAGTGGGATGGAAGAAATGCATATGCCGCGGATAGAAGGATCGGTGACAACCCCTACCAGAAGGGCTGAAAGTGACAACCACCTTCGGCAGTCCTGTAGCCTGCATGACTGCTATTAACAACTAAGGCGACACTAACTATGAACTGTTTGGAAAATTCCGTTACAGCGCCTGCATGAAGATGTCAATTAGGTGAACACGCAGTACCGCCTCCCCCACCTCTCGACCAGCTGGAGAGAATCTAGACAGGAATTGGCTGGGCAGCATTGAAGTGAGGACAAAGTCACAAGGAGGAATGGACGCGAAATCCCACCTCCATGGAAATACACTAAATTTCGGCCTTTGTAATTTGACTCAGCTTTAGGCCCAAATTTCTACAATTTCCAATGGACACGCGTGATGGCCAGTACATTTCTCATCCAGTTTCCATACAGGATGCGACCACAGATCCAGTGGAATTGCCAAGAGGGATCAGTGACGTTGCGGTCAAGCACCTCCTTCAATGTGTGAAAATTGGATTACTGGCATGGATGGTTCGTGAGTGTGATGGCCAGCGTGGGAGGTTGACCAAGGGGAGCGCCGGAGACCCTCTTTTTGGTGACGGGTTACCGAGGTCTCCACC